GTAGGGAAAAAAATCTTAGGTATGTACCTTTCTAATTATGCTCTTTCATTTGTTGAATTATTCTCCTAAGTGTAAGGAAGAGAAGAAAAATCAATTAGCGAAACTTGTATTATCTTTCCTTTTTATACTCATTTCTTGCTTTTACTGGCCGTTTCAAATAAACATACAAATACAATACATGTATAAGCTTATAATTTAATAAGAAAACAAAATTATGTCAATCTTAATTCCAGTGGTGGCCTAAGCACGAGTGGGTGAAGCAACCGTCATAGCCTCATTTGTAAGACCCGCAAGCTCTTCTTCTTCCTCCTTCCCCTCAACACTCTTATTTTCTCCTCATTCCCTATTCTCTCATTTCAACTTTCTGAGTTTCCTTGTGGTATTCAAGGTGCTGCGTAGAAGTATGGGTAGCTAGTCGGAAGCGTAGACCTTCTTCTTCTTCTTCCTCTCCCCGAAGCTCAGATTCTACTTCTCTAAGATGAGGGAAGCTAGATTGTAAACTCGTTGGTTGTGGGTGAGTTTAAGAACTCATTTGGAGTAACAATTGTTGAGAATCATTGATTGATTTGAAGAGTTTCTCGTTTTCGGAGTTTCGAGAAAATTGGGAAATTTGGTGATTTTTGATGCGTTTGATGGTTGCATGTTGAAATTGAAGTTGTTTTTGAGTTGTATAATGTAAATGCATTTCAGTTTTTGGATTGCATGTGTTTGAGTTGGCTGATTTTCAGGTTTTTGAAGAAAATTTTGAAGTTTTGGGGTTGACTGTTTGAAGTTGCGTCGGGCCCAGTTCTTTGCATTGGGCGTGCATTCATTAGGGACTACCATGTTCCAATCACGTCAGGTGCTATTGAGACTAGGGTGTCTCTGGATGAATCGTGTCGAGCGTGAGAAGAACCACGCTGGGCGTGATATCAGATGTTTATCTTACAAATTTGGTAACCGATAAGGCGCCAGGCGTGCTCTGAGCATGCCAGGCGTAGAGAGTCCTTGGGGGTCTCTGCCTGGGATGGCACTAGGCGCATAATGAACGTGTCAGGTGTGAGACCCTGGTGAGATCTTTGCCTTTTTTGCGCCGAGCGCGAGTTTGGCACGCCAGGCTTGGGTGACTCTTGGAAGTCTCTACCTACCAACACACTAGACGTGATGATGATACGCCAGGTGTGATGATGATACGCCGAGATTGGGAGAGCTTTAGAGCTCTCGGGTTGCGTTCAGGTCGGCGCGAGTTTACTTGCGTCGGGCGTGAAGGTGTTTGATTCTATGCTTAAGAAAATGTTAAATATTGTGATATGATGAGAAGATGTAGTTGTGTGTTGAATCATGGTTGTGTTTATGTGAAGAAATACTGTATGTATGTTTGGGATAAGTTGCTTTGTTGCTAAAACATGTTGTTAATGTTGAGCTGATTACGTTGTTTAAGTTGAAAGTTGATTGAGATGATGAGTTGAAAAGTTGTGTGTTGTTTAAAGTTGTTGAGCTTAGCTGTGTTGTTGAGTTGTAAGATGATTCAGTTGTGATGATAAGTTGTTGATCACTAGGACTAAAGGAGATGTTTTCAAAGGTGCTCATCCCATTGTGCGGATTGAGATAGTTGTGGTGCTTTGAGAGCCCAATTTATTGAAAACCCTCCTTGGGAAGTTGTCAAAACTAAGTGCTCTCACTCTTTTCTATATTTTTATTTTGTGAAAAAAGTTAAAGTTAATATATTAAGTTTTTGAAAAAAATAAATCTTAAAATAAGTGTCATGTTAGTTTTTCTATATAATATTAATTATCTTTTGTTTTTCATTTATACCCTTCATAATATTTTTTAGAAAGTGAATATTGTATTGTATTATTTATAGTAAAGAAGATTAATTATAAGTTTTTTATTTCTATAGTTTGTATGAAACAACCTAAACCGATACTTATTATAAGATAAAGGGAGTACTAGTTATAGTTAAATCAAGCCAGTAAAAAAATTAAGGAGTGATAATTGATCTAAATTCATATTATACTATTTTTTTAATGTAAAAGGTCAAAATTTTGATATAAGATATAAAAAGAGATATTTTTGAAAGTGTTAAAAATGAGAAAATAATTTAATATTTTTAAAATATAAAATCTCATAAAAATAATTTAATATATATTTATATTTAAAAAAATGTAAAATTATATATTTAATATATGAATTTATGTATTAATATTGTCCTCATTATTTAAAATTTCTGGATGCGTCACTATATATATATATA